GACCATCTGTCAGGATCTAGCTACCACCAGCCTCAGCGCACCATAGGCTCTCCCGCCGAATACATGGTTGGGGGCATCCGGTTTCGGATTTGCCTGTCACTGTGGCCAGTCACAGGACGCCTGCGCCTACAGAGGGACCATGGGTGGTTTGCGCTGCACTACCCACAGCTCCATACACACACCACATATCCAGTGTAAACCCGAAGGAATAACACCGGGAGGTATGTGGATGGGAGCCACGTTTCGTCAACGGAGTCGGCCCACACTCCTTCACAGGCAAACACAAGCACGCTGTAGTTGGGGAATCAAGTGCACACAAGGCGGTGGTTGGACCGTAGTCCGCTCCACACTGAGTGCATGGAACCGCTCTTTGAGCCTAGCACGGCCACAAGGACTGTGCACCCCGTCCCCTCCAGCAACGACCAACTGTCTCCTGGAGCCAGTATGGACGAGGTAGCGGGTAATAGACAGGTAGGCACCTTGTCAACATGCACATCAAGCGCAGCCTCACCGGGGATATCAAGCAAGATCCATTCATTGAAATGACAAGTCAAAATAGAAGAAATCCAATAATGCATACAAATACGTGCCATAACTCGTCGCTAAATTACTATATGAAGTACGTTGGTTAGCAACGAATCCGCCATAAGTGAGAAATGTGTACAAGTTACTTAAAAATGTTACAAACGCAACAAAGTTACCGAAGATAAGCGCAATTTGCGTAAGATACGTGGCCAGTGAATAGAAGAATAATCAGGTAGGCAGAACGAACCAAAGAAAGTGGAATAAAATTCATATAGCTTAAAAAGACTTAGCTTAAGTGTACGTTGGTTTTGCCCAACTGCGGTGAAGAAGCATAAAGAATGCAACATCAGCCTCAGCATGGGGCACATCCATCCATCCATACATGTTGACCTACATCCGGCTCGACACTTGACTGCTCTGTAAGTTCTGGCGCTAACGTTTTGCTCCGGTCTCGTTTCATCCGTCCACGTCTTTCGTACCCCATGGAATATAGTCCGCTGTATCGGATTTCGATTGGCTTCTGATATCCGCGGTTGATTACGCGCATCCTCTCAGACTAGTATATACTAGCCAACATGCTTTGTTGAACTGTGCTACGCGCAGTTTGAGTGATAAAGCAAGATGGTGACCCTACATGGTAAGTCACTTACACGTACTTGTCCTAGTGCTCTCCAATCACCTTCCCTTAACCTTTCAGCACACATAAGTTATTTAAATGCTAGGGCAAAATCAATGCACCGCATTACCGATCAGAAACATCACCCTACGTGACTATGCCATTTCCTAGTCATGCCGGGCCATAGGGGAAGCAAGTTAGGAAATAATGATTGCAAGTTGCACACGTCTGCCTACTTGTGGAAGGGATCAACTTGAACATGATATCTGCGCAACTTGAAATAATAATTGCCAAACCTAATGCCGCTATGGTCTAACATGATTTGGAACTATTATGATCGTTCAATGTTTGAATTTCATGTCAGTCATTTAGTTGAATATTTTTCGATGGCATACTGCGACGCAACAAAGCGTGACCACATGGTCATTAAATAGGTACAGCGAGCGTTCACTAATCGTATACAGACACCCGCACAAAGCTATCTCACTGTGGGCGATAGGAACTACTTAAACCTGACTCAACATGGATACAAGGTGTAAGGGCAAACCAAACGCTATTTTTCAATGTTCGGCATAAAACGTGTAGCAGTCTGGAGATTCCCCGGTTTGCCTGTGTAAAATTCTGAACAACAGCACTGTTTTATTGTACACTTAGGCGGCCGGTGCGGAATGTGGAGCTGGTTGTTGAGTTCCATTGTTTAAGTTGCGTATCACTATTTTTACTTGGCGCTCGTTTCGGTTGCAACGCACGACTGCCTTATATGCTGGGCTTTCTATGTTCTCCTAGCTAGCGCGTCAACAGCGTCGTTCTTTTTGTAGCTAGGCAACAGGGAATCATTTGTTGTATAAATAAAAGCTTCCCTACAGCCCGACCCCTTTTAAAATCGCTCTCCGGGCGCCCACTAAAGGCCACTAACTAAAAACACGCACATTCCTAACACAAAGCCGTTGTAAATAGTGCACATAATAGAGAAAGTTCTGTAATTAAAAAAGCAAAGACAAACGGACTGACAAACCTCTTGAATCGATACTCTAGAATGTGAGACGAGCTGCCGGTTACAACCATTGTATGAAGGTTAATAACCATTTGCATATACTACCAAATACACTATTTTAACTAAACTTCAGAAGCCAGACACCGATTATGCAATAATACCTATATTTACAGACTAGGAAAAAGCATTTGACCGTGTGCCATACAAACGATTGTTGGAAATGGTTAAAACATTGAAAACCGGAAGCCGCTTTTAAGCAGGCTTTTCTTTTACCTTAGCAGTCGGTTTCACTTTGGTTGGCCCATAAACTTCTCCTTGTCCAGTTGCCAGCGGCATCCTCCAAGGAATATTACTTGACTTTTGCTTGTTCTTCTCTACATTAGTGATGTTTGATTGCCCATCAAAAATGGGCAACTCCTTCTATTTGCTGATGATATCAAGCTTGTTTACAAACTCCAGCGTGATGCGGTTCAAAGCTCACTACTTTTAATTCAAGATGATTTTCACCCTCGTGTAGTATGGTCCAAGATTTGGCTAGTAAACTTCCCAACCGACAAAGCTAACAGTATATCATGCGGCTGCCCGATCCCTGATGGGTCAATTAAACTAACAACAAAGTGTGTCCACACGGCGGTATACTCGAGACCTTGAGACCGGCTATTATGCCGACTTCCGCTTTTTTGAACGAGCGCAATACTAGAGAGCTTGAGCCCGAAAATCCGTGGCGAACATATGCCAAAAAAGCCCTGACGGATTGCCATTATTTAAAATCTGCCATTGGCCTCTTCTCGAATAGTTTGATTTCATCTATGGCAGCATGCGGAAAGCAAACAAGAAAGTCGCGAAAAACGTACAAAGGTCATTCACCAAACGTCCGTTCAATAGTACATCCACCGTAAACTATCGCAAACGTAGTAAGCAGCTTTACGTCGACCCGTCAATGGCTGCGATATCCGAAGCAAAAGTTGATGCTCCTTTAGAGTCTACAGCATCAGAAAAAAACTTACCTACTTAACTTAAAGATAAAACACAGTATTCAGAACAGACCACGCAACAAAAATGTATGCTTATGATACCAAAAGCTAACAAAACCCCGGCTCTAACTCTTTCGCATCAGATACACCGTCTTGTAGAACAACTTACCAATCGCAATCAGGACATGTGAAAACGCTACTTCATTTCACAGCAAACTTGACCGATCCTTAGATCTGGTAGTGTTACTATCCATGTTCACAGCCGACAACCCAACTGACGAAATATTCCATGATGGTCCCGAAATATTTAGCTAAAATTTGGCATTAACATACACTAATGCAGGAGCATGATCATTCTTGTACATACTGAATCTTAGCAGTAATATTGAAAAAATAATTGCTGTTACTTTTCAAATACAATCCCGATTTTCACCTGACTCAAAGTCTTACCATTGCCTATCGGGGCCAACTGTTACAAAGGTAGCTTGCACCTAAGAACCTCACGTCGATTTTATCCAATTGTACAATGATCCTTCGCCAGTGGAAGCACTGACGCACTAATAGGTAGGACACCCAGGTCCCCTACGACACGAACTTGAACTTGAGTTGAATCCACCTCGGACCTCAGTGCTACAATCCAGTTTTGCTTGGCTCTAGCACTTAGCATTCGTCAACGGAATGACCGACGCACTGGTAGAATAAGCATTGATATCTTGCTGAAGTCTTTGGTTGATCTTCTTCAATCCTCAGCCATTGTCACACACAAATTTGACGCCCTTCTGGTCCATCCACTTATTGATCACCGGCCTCTTTATTATACTACTACCCACTCATCCCTAACGAACTACAAACTGCGACAACTAATTACGGATGTGGTTTTCGGCAAAGTTTTCAAAGATAATCACTGGAATATTTTCCATTGGTCTGCCCCAGGTAATGTGTACCAAAGCCTTTCCTTATAATAAGCGTGCCACGCTGTACAGTGGGTCTACTTGAGTTCGATAGCTCATTGTAGCATCGTTTACAACCGCCCCCTATCTCCAACGTCACACTAGTCTTTGCCATACCTTATGCACTGCTTGATATGCAATCTAATTGTATTTGCTATTTTCTTCCTATTTAACGCTTCCAGGATTAGCATATTACGAAAGTTTGACCAAAGATGTACTATAAATGCACAGTTCATTTTTTGTGGAGAATATCTGGATCAAACGGAACCAAACTTTCGCTCCAACGGAAAATAGCATGTTTACGCTAACATTTCTGAATAAAGCAGGTACAAAATGAGCGAACCAGGTTCACTGGACCGTCTCTTGCGCTGTCGACAAGCATATGCTATAATTATCAAGTATGTATTTTTGATGCATTCATTAAGCCAAAAATTGTGTTCACTGTATGATCAAGTGCTGATAATGGGTGTCAGCGCAATACTGTCTGCCTATTTGTATTTCCCTTAATACGTATGTGATAATTCAGAGATGAGAACAATTCTTCTGTGGTTATATTTGCAATGGGTCAATCAGTGAATGTTGTCCCCGGATTAATTATTCTGCCATGTTGAGATCTTTCAAATAGCACTAATTGTCACCAACGTCACGAGACGGAGCCCGAGACATACACAATGAAAACACACGTTAATTTAGGGTGAGGAACACATAGGCTGACTTATCCTAACCTGACAGCGAGCAGTGGTAATGTTAACGTGGTAAACATCAATGGCACTGAATTCATGCGGTGATTAGATTGCTGCAACTATGCTCGCAACTAGTACAATCGAAATGCCTAACCAGTAGTGTAATGAAATATGTGAAAATTCGTACGATTCACTAGTAAGACCGTGCACAAGATGATTTGAAGTTAGCGGATCTGATTTTCGATCTACTGTACATACCTGGATTATTCCGATCACACCACACAAACAGGGCGTTCATTTTGGAAGCCTGAGCAAAGTGCGCAATTCCGGATCCTCTTATCCCATATAACAACAACTTACTCTAATTAACTCATTAATGCAACGATAAAGCGGTCCAGCAGCTTTCACTGACGGATAAGGTAGATGGACGGAACACCCGGTAAGAATCATGCCCGAAGAAGGCAAGCGGAGCTGCTCGTCCGTTCAATTTAAGTAGTTCGAACTTGGTGAAAAGCCGAAGCATCAAACAGGTTAAGTGGAAAACCCAGACTGACTCGGCTTGGTGTCCCTCCGAAATGGAGCTAGCTTAGAAGCGTTAGAGAGATGCCATGACGTAGAGAAAAGACAACGAGACTGAGAGCAGCCGACTAAACCCCAAAACCACTCAGATTACAGTGGTGGCAGCAGTGGGACCGGAAAGAGAGGACAGACAGACGATCGGTTGGAACGCCGCCAATCAGAAAGCGCCAGTCCGTAGTTCAATGGTCTAACTGGTTAATCACAATCCAGTGACGCCGAACCGTTGGCGCACTTCTGGTTCAGGGTGAAACAGAATTCACAGACATTCTAACCGAAATCCAGCCCGTAATTGGTTCATCCAGCGACGGTAGGTTAGTCGTACGGAGTGATTGGCTTAAGGAAAAACAACAAACGGAACCCAAGACCAACCACAAACCCCAGTAACTAGTTGCAGCAACTGGCTAGAAGCTACAGCCTGTCACACGCGTGGTGCCTTGGGGATCTTTCATTTTGACCAGCTTGTTATAAAGCACTTGCGCACTAGTATCCAAATAAGCTAAGTTCTTTAGCTCGGAGTACTCATTGGCTTACAATGAGTCAGGTTTAAGAGAATGCCGACGGACGCAGGGTCGGCTGTAACTGATTTTGATGGAGTGCTGACGCCTTTCCTACAGTTTGAGTTGACTAGGGTGCTTTCCATTCCTTGTCCGCACCTACTTCATAGTTGCATAACTGGGTCAATCGGGGTTCCTGCGTAATCGCCGATACGTTTGCTTTATCAGATGTCTGGTCTTTTCAAGGCACTTGCAGCTTTCAGCCTGGGTTCAGATGAAATCACTTTGCGGTGATTGCTCCAGCACTCTAACAATTACACTGCTGTTTTCTTGGAGTGGACCACCTCCTTAGTAATTGAGTGAAACTGTTACAAAAGCTTTCCACCAATGATGGCCCAGGCGAAGATCAGCCAGTCTACTTCGCAACGGCACGGTCTGAGGAACGTAGGCGCCAGACGTGTACACGCGAGCCGAGACCGGAAGTCTGTAACCTCGCGGACTGCACGGAGACTGTGGAAAGAAAGCCTATTTGGTGGCGAGAGTGCGTATAACGACTCATCCAAAGGCGTACGTGATTCCTATATCTTTATATTTATAGCATAACAGTACAGCAGCGTACCAGATAAATTACACAGGTAGGTGAATGTAAGTAAGCGACATGAGTTACCACCTAGTGGCTATGTCCTGAGGGAATCCCATTTCGAGTCAATGTATCTTGTGACGTTAGATATAGCAGTGCCAGTGGAGCGATCACAGTTGGTTTACTGAGGTTTAAGGCGGTAGATACAGCAGTGACTGCACTGTTTGCGTTAACATATAACATCTCCTGTCGCAGTATTGATCGTCGTTGCAGGAAACAAGTGTGGTTACGCTACCCGATTCGTTTCAGGCAAGACCATGAGCGTTCATTCCAACATATTCATTGGTGAGGCAATATTCCATTAGCACGGAACTAAGAAGCTGCATTTCTAGGCAATAACTAATCCGCGCGGATACTGAGAATCACGTATCGCACAAAGCTCATTGTCTCTTAAAAAATGAATGCGAAATCGTGGGACCACAGCACACGCATGTTGGTTCTCACGCATACTGTGTACCACAAGCCCATTATCCCTGTGCTGACATAATATGCTGCAAACTCCGAATAGCAAATACAAAAGGATCTATAAGCCACGCTTTCACGGTCTGTATTCTTATTGTAAAGTTGTTGGACCATCTTCCTTTCCCCTTTGTGTGACTGGTATGTTATTGTTTGGAAGCACTCATCCCATGCCGGAGTCTGTACGCCGATACAAATACGAAACCGCGTAGCCTACTGTCACATCACCAGTTCGTTCACTTCCTCCACGTATTCCTTAGGCATAAGCATGAAAAATAAGTATTGCCATTGTGAACCAAGTTGCATAGAAGTGGTCTCTCCAAGCGCTGTCGAATCAGCTTTGCTCGTGCATTGCATTCTGGCCCCCAACGCACCTTTTGTAGCTTTTCCCGTGTACCAATGTAGTCCAGAAATCAGTGATAACGGTGAATACGTATATTTACAAAAACAACATAAAATAGTCATATGTCAGTCAACGACGAAGATGCTCAACATGCCTGCCGGCGTTCTGCTTGCACTGCAGAAATCGCCAGAGGCAATACGCTATAACTTTTGCAAAGTTTCCGGGTTGATGGTGCGACATTCGTGGACAATACGATCTTTCCGTTGTTCCGGTGAAATAGGCGTTTTTTGTGAGTTCCTTTTTAAATAACTCCCTTGGAAGAAACGTAAGGGGTTCAAATTTGGTGACCGGGCAGGCCAATCCTTTGGACATCTGCGACTGACTACCGGTGACTGAACACCTCCTTATGATAATGCCGCACCGTTGATGCATAATAGGCAGGTGCGACATATCGTTGAAATTTTTGACGGGTAAGTTGATTTATTAACAGAATCTACGTTTCACATTTATTGGTATCCTCCTGCAAAGAAATGTTGCGGACGTATGTCATTCCACAGATGCAGGCCGAAGGAAGTGAAACTGCGTATCCTCCAGGAATATCGCGGGATGTCAGTGGACACTGCAAAAAATGCTAGACAACATCATGGGGCGGATACTACTCTGCAAGCGAAACGACGGTGGTCATTTTGAACATATACATGGTTCATTTTTTATGCTCTTGAAATATGCTTCATGTAAATATACGTATAATGCATAACGATTGATTTCACTAGCACATTGTTGCGATGGGTCATGGTGCGAATACTTCGTCTGGGTTGAATGAACGCTACGAGAAAATGGAACAAGATGCGTACGTGAGAAACGCGCGATCGCTCAATTGCACGACATGGTGTAGGCGTCGCTTTTGGTGTTGACGTATTTCAGCATTTGTAACATATCTGTCCCATTCTCCAAATGCCAGTATTTACACACGTCACGTTTAGTTCAGCAACTAGTTGGAGGCAAGGGCTGTCGTTGCACACCCATGGTTCCTCCGGAGTTGACAACTTTCCCGGAAAGCGTTGCAGGTGGCAGCTACAAGGATAGCTGAACAATTAACGAGATTTTCCCAAAGATGCCTGAAGGAACAGCAGCTTTCTAGCATGTAGAAGCAAGGCATCATTACCCCGATTTTCAAAAGTGGTAGCCGTTCAGATCCAGCCAACTATCGCCCAGGGATTCTCCTCCAGGCGCTCTCAAAGGTAATGGAATCAATCATAGCTGAGGTTGTAAAGGGCTACTTCGAAAGGCCTAACATCGTAGCACCTGAGCAACACGGATTCCGTCAGCATCGGTCATGTACTACCAATCTATTGCTTGCCCGTGATAGTTGGACCGAGATAGCCGACAGTGGGACTGGCACTGATGTCATCTAATTTGATTTTTCTAAAGTCTTCGACTGCTCAGATCACCGAATCCTTTCTCCGAAAGCTGCAAACGTAAAGAATTAGGGACCCAGTCTTTGGATGGATCAAAAATTTCCTGCTTTAGCAGTGACTTCGAGTAAGAGGTTCAGTTTCTGATCCAATTGATGTGGACTGCAGTGTTCCACAAGGATCGGTGTTGAGGCCGCGGTTACTCTTGTTTTTCCTTAATGATCTTTCGAGTGTCGTCAAGTTCAATTTCCTGCTTTTTGCCGATGATATCAAGATATGACGGGCAATCGACTGTCACGAAGGTCACGATATGTTGCAACGGGACTTAGACTGCCCTTTTGTAAGGTCAAAAGTCAATCTATTTCCGTTTAACACGGAAAAGTGCTTCAGCTTCCCTGGCAGAAGTCAACACAACTCGTGGATCCCATCTAAAATTCCCACTGGTAGTAGGTCTGAGGGAAGTGAAGTTCTTTCTACACCACCCTACAACCACTCACCTTGCATTGCGCAAACTGTCAGAGGGGCTAATTTCGATGCCACCGAACCCAACTACATGCGACTCGTCAATAATGCAAAAAACGTCTAGCAGCCGACCATACAAGTCGGGACAACCTCTCATCCTAGTAACAAGTCTTTTGGATTGCTGCTGATAACCGAAACACTTTTCTGCATGTACACGAACGCCAAAAGCCTTCAGCGAAATCGCGTAGGTTCGGTTACGCCAGGTAACAAACACATGGGATCTCATCGCCCCAACCGAGACTTAGTTGCAATCAGAGGTTACAGATGCCGAGATCGCAATTAAGGAAATGTCATTATTCCGACGTGATCGTCCTAGCAGGGGAGGTGGCACTATCCTATACTATCGCAACAACTTACGATGCGAATCATTGGATAATCCGGAGACGCGAGTCACCTTTTCGCTATGATGCCGTTTGTGTCTCAGCTATAACGACAACTGCTTTCTGGCACTAGTATATCTCCCACATCGTACACTCCAGATAGATTCCCGTTTAATATCATTACCGACAAGAACCTTACACCCAACTTACATCCATGTGCTTATCTCCGGCGATTTCAACGTGAACGACCTGGAATCCTCGGAATCCTACAGCGAAACATTTAGGGTCGAACAGCAAGAGCATATTACAAGTATTCCGCTCTACAATCACATCACCTCACCTAACAGGTAGAAAGCTGATAAAAAACTATCGGTTCCAGGTCTAGTACATACAAATGAGGAACTCACGGTTGACAGGCCAATTATAGACACCCCATTAGGGCTATGTGATCATGTCCCGATACTTTGTAACCAGGTGTGTTACGCTGAATATCCGGAGGAACGCAGAATTAACACGTACTAACACACATTACAACATCCAGAACGAACTAGCTACGACGACCGATT